CACCCAGAAACCGACATGCAGCAAAAAAAAGAAAGAGGTCGGATTTGGATTGTACTGCCAAAGCCCAGCAAGGCCGTGCCCATGGGGGGGAAAAAAAAACAAAAGAAAACTGAGCAGATTTTTTTCATGCCCGGGGTACCACTTGCGGCACCCCACCCCGGGCAGGGTGCCCGAGGCGCCCAGCCGAGCACCCTGGGAAAGCTAGGACTGCATCTTTCCATGTTTACGAAAGAGATTCACTATCAATTTGCGCGTTTGGTGAGTGGTGGCACGAGGCCTTTCGCCACAAGGCCTCATGCGGAAGAAAAACAAAACAAAACAAAACAAAGGACCAAAACTATGGCGGCGTATCTTCCCATGTACCAGCGAAAGATTCATTCTCATTTTGCACATCGATGATGTCAGGCCCTTCTGGTGCAATGCAGATGCACGTCGCCGTTGCACCCGAAGGGCTTCTTTTTCTTTTTACTGTTTCCTCCTTTTTTCCCCCCTCCTTTTTTTTTTCTTAGGGTCTGTACCTTTTCTTTTGCCTTGTTCGAGTCGTGTGTTGTTTTTCCAACGTTTTCTTCTTTTTTTTGTGCCATGTTTTTCTTTTCCTTTGGCAGTGCAGACGCTTTCACTCATGTGGCTTCTGCCCAAGAGTTAGACCTAGGCACACGATGAAGTTTTTTCAGTGTCCAACAGGACAAGGCTACCAAGCCTTTACCGGTCCTCTGCCGAACCCACCCAGGCCAGGTCGCAATTTACTGCAACACGACGAACAGTGCGCAGGCGTGAACTGGTGGTTTAAGGTCAGAAACAAAGCATATTGGAAGAGCCAAGAAAGAGAATTATTTGTCACAACAGCCATGCAATTCGCCTACCTCCGCAAGCCTGTCTGATTGATCATCTCCCATTTTGTTGGGAGAGAAAGACAACGCAGATCTCTGGGTTCCCAGCACCAGTTCCCAGAAATGATTGATGAAACAACCTTCGTGAAGTACGGTTCAGGTGCACAGGTCTGCTCATGGAATAGACCGGGGATTAATAGAAGAAATCACCAGAAAACATGAGGTGTGCTGACAAAAGACAGTGAACATGATAGCAAAACCAGTCGTTTGCTTCGCATTTCTGCAGTAGCCAGCAACAATAGACCACCTCAAAACTGACCCATAATATGAAGATCGGATTATTTCGGCTGGGAGAGAAATGGAAAGTTTGTACACGGCGTCCGTCAAACTGCACTCTGGAATTTATAACTCGAGAGTCGAAACCACTCTAACGCACAGAAGCCGAATTGCGGTACCCTGCACATTACCAAGTAAGAGACGCTTGACAACCAAAAAACGTTCCTTCCTTCTGCTGGCATGCAGCCACCACTCTAGCCCTGCCCCCTGCCAGATCAAATGGCAGACGGACAAAACCGCAGAGTCATCCTTATCTGCCAAGCAGATGCCCGAGAACCTTTGCCTTCTAAACAGTGCAGCGTCCCATTGAAGATGTAGCAAATCACTCAACGGCGTCAACGCCTAAAAACTCTAAATCATGGCCAACCCAGAAACCAGCTACGCATGACTTCAAAATCCCCTAGCTGTTCACTTCTCTAATACCCTGTGGTGGATGGGGAGATCAATCCATAATAGTTCTACAGATCAAACATGACAACGTAAAAAGCAAGTTTGCATGGTAGCAGTGTCTGGATGCAAGACATGCCAGCATGCCAGTGCCTCTGCCAAAGTTGTTCGGTTGGGCGACAGACACAAGCAAACCAGCCACAAGCAAAGGTGGTTCTGCTTGAGGTGTCAAAACTCCACTGCACTCCACTGCACTTGGATCATGAGTAACCCCAAGCATCTATCTTCCAACGATCAATCGATTTATGGCCCCCTTCGCACTACCAAACCATGAGCGGGCAAGGGTTACGGGCTGCCACCATCCTTTTCAGTCCACTAGTCTGAGCCTTTCCACAGCACCGTGTTAGCTGGCTGCATCCTGTGGATACCTGGGCAGGGTACCCACAATTTAGAAAACACTACAGGTCCGACAAATCGGAAAATCGGCAATGGCGTAGGGTGAACTGCACCCACAACAAATCATTTAGTACTATCCTCAGTGCAGTGCAGACTTCTCTCTCTCTCTCTCTCTCTCTCTCTCTCTCTCTCTCTCTCTCTCTCTCTCTCTCTCTCTCTCTCT